CACAGAGAAGGCTCTCCCCCTGGGGGTCGCCAGCCGGCATTGTCTGGCCGACGGCACTCTAAGGAGGCCCTCTCTGTGGGAGCGGACTGGTCGAAGGGAGGTGTTTGGTAGGAGGCGGTCTTGCAAATACCTAGGTCCATTGCCATGGAGCGCTTTAAAAGTTGTTACTAACACCTTGAAGCGCACCCGGAAGGCCACACTCCTAGGTGTAATGTAGCAAAGGATCTACTCCACACCATTTACTATATTTCTCCATCAAAAACTATCCTTGCTTTCATTATATCAAAAAAACCCACCCCCATTTCATATAATGCCCTTTGTTGTTTGTTTCCCTGGTCTCTTTTTGAAGATCTCAACCTCTTCCAATTTTCTCAGCTTTTGCCTTTCTCTAAATATATTTATTCTTTCTCACAGATGTTCTACAATTCAAACATTATTCATTCTGCTTATACAATCAACCCCTGTAATGCACACTTCTTTTATACTATTCTCTTCTGTACTCGATTCACATTCATTTAGCACCCCTTTATTCTTCACCCCATTATTGTTAAGTTTCCCACTCCCACCGCATTCTACTTCCTTTTCTGTTTCTCCCAATGTACTAAACTCTCAGTTCCATAGAACAAAGTGGAATACACCCTTGTACATAGCACTTCTTTAGACTAACGTTCCTTCCTCACAACAGACTACATCTCATGCTCTAGGTCCTACCCCGCAATCTCTAAATGAGGACTGGCTGTAAATTCATATACTGGCTCTGATAGAGCTCCATTTTTTCTGTCAAGCATTACCAACTTGACTTTTGCTGCCCTGATTTTCAAATTCATACTCCTGATTGCCAAGAAGAGTTCATCATCTGTATACAGGAATATACCCGGTTAGGGTCCCAACTAACACACCTTGAGTGGTACAATAAGCATGTATCATATTTATGCCTATAAATATATTCAGTGATCAAGGGGCCACCAGTGGCATTTACAAGCAAGGTCAAAATCTTCAAGATGGCAGGTCTGGAGCCATAGCCACATCCCTCCCCATTTGTACTTGCAGATATGGAGGGTAGTGGAGACAACAATGTTGACACCTCTTTATTTTCATGCATGCTTTATTTCCACAATGTGCTACTTGTATCACATGCAGCAGCCACATTTCAACAGCACAAGGGAGAGCATTTGTAGCTCAGGGCTGAAATGAGGGGTCCTTGATGATCTCTGAGCTTGGCTGGTTTCTTGCAGACGTTTCATTACCTAACTAGGTCATATCATTAGTGCTAAATGGTGTCTAGCACTGATGTTAGCCAGTTTGGGTAATGACATGTCTGCAAGAAACCAGCCAAGCTCAGAGATCGCCAAGGACTCCTCACTTGGGCTTTTAGAAGTTTGATTGCTGTGGGTGCATAGTTGCTGCTCCTGTAGGTTGTGTATCTAATTGCATTAGGAAGCAGGTATAGGTAAGAAAGTTTAAAGAGTGGCGTTTCCAGGAAGATGATGACTGGAAGTATATGTCTAGATATTAAAATGGCTTCACCTGCTCCATTTAGTAGTTGACGATTTCTCAAACATGGGGGCTGATTTAGCATTTCACCTTGTTAATACAATTACCTCAGTTTTCACATAGATATTTCAGATCAACCAAAGATGTTAGCAGGTGGAAGCTGACCCACAGCCCCACGTGCAATACAGACAGAATAACAATATTTTCAGCATATGGAAAAATGAAAATTTTGTCAGGGATGAAATTTAGCTCTATTAAGGGCCTAGACAGTATCATGTATAAAATCAAATGGGGAGGAACAGAAGATCTGTTTGAATACTTTAGAAGTTGTAGTTATGTCACTGAGGTGCCTTCATGCAACATAATAATTAACTGGGGTAGCCAGCAATTAACAGAGGAAGTTAATTTTCATCAAAATTCCTCAGAAATTAATGTTACTTTTCTCATAGAGATGCTTTTGGTAGACTGGTATATTTTGCAGAGAGGTGATGAAGGGAAAACACTGTGGGTCTATACATATGTTGCTCATAGTATGTTTAGGTGTGTGTCATGTATGTGTTTCACTTTGAGAACGGGCAACTAAATTTCATTTTTGATGTGTGCCATTGTGCCCACAGTATAAAAATGACAATAAAGGTTATCTTATCTTATCTTAGGACTCTAACCATAAACCCATATTCTTCCTTGGCTATAATTTTTTTTGTTAGATCATCCTATCAAGAAATTTTCGGCAGAGGAGTTTCACAATTACGCATAATAAACTGATTGGCAATTAGCTGGTCTTCCCACTTTAAGGTATTGGGATTATTAGGTCTAATGTGCAGTCCTCTGTCTTCCCTGTCAAACACATGGTTTGATAGTCTTTGGTGCATTACTGTTCAGTTTGATGCTCTTTGTTACATAATACAACTTACATATTTTGCTACAAGTCATCTGGGTCCTCTGCCAAGAAAAGGGTATCATCTGCATAAGAAATATGCCCAGTTATGGCCTAACGCACCTCACATGACCCCATAAGCACTTTTCATACTTATCCATAAATGCATTAAAGGATCAAGGAAAGAAGCAGCAAGTGGGGGTGCCGCTGTCCAAGCCCCCCCCCCTCGCCCTCTCCTGCTCATTGATGGCGATGGCCGCGGAGACACCAGTACCAAAACCCCGTCCATTCACTCCCCAGGATCTCCGGCTCCGGCAAGGTCTTCCAGGGTCCGAGCCTGATTTCACTAGACGCCTCTCCTAGCGGCGTCTCGGCTGGAAGCAGAGCTCCGGCCTCCCTCGGCTCCCCTCACCACTTGCCTAAAATCGCGCAGCTCTTCTCCCGTTTCGCGGTGGGCTCTGGCGGCTTCTCCTCCTCGGGAGCTTTGTCACGGGGGGCGGGGATCCTCGGCGCTCGCTCTCTTCCCGGGCCTGGCGGCGGCGGCGGCGACAGCTGTTTTCCTGTCGGGAGTTTCATTACCCGAACTCGGCGGCGGGGTCATGGGAGTCAGCAAGGGGTGGGTTGGGCTTCGCTCTCACAACTGTGGCTTCACTGAGAACAAACTCCTCGGCCTTGCTGGCGCCCATGACCCCGCCGCCGAGTTCGGGTAATGAAACCCCCGCAGGAAAACAGCCGTCGCCGCCAGGCCCGGGAGAGCGAGCGAGCGAGCGAGCGAGCTCGGCGGGCTCCTTTCAACCCGGGGCTGCCAAGGTTCCCCTCTGCCTGCTCCACCTTCCCAGGCAGGCCTAACAGAGCTGCTCCGTGGCAGGCCCCGGGAAACGGCCCGCGGCGGGGGGGGGGCAGCACCCTCCCCGCGAAAGGTGCTGCCCCCGCTGCCTCTGCGCATGCGTCCTGCGATCCTCACCCGGCTCCACGAGATTACGTCGTCGCTCCCGGGGTCTTCGACCAGGGCCCAAAGTTTGGCCAGGAAGCCGGGGACGGAGGAGGCGCCGGGCAAAGCCGGCCCCGCGCCCACCAGCGCCACCGCTTTCTTCATGACCGACCCGCGATGCCGGACAGGCGTCAGTAGGCGGCACGACGTGAGGGGCGAAGGACGTCGCCGGGCCGACGTCACGTTTAAGGGGCACGCCCGCATTCCCGGCTCGGCGTCTCATTGGCGGTTCCCGAAGCTGAGCCCGCCTCTTCGCAGGGCTGGGGACCGGTTTTCCTCGGTTCTCTGGAAAGCGGGGAGATTTGGAAAAGAGGCGTAGGAGAATCCGCTCGGCGTCGGTGTGCTCGAGCCTTTGCCCGCAGCTCCCCGGGGCAGCGCTGGGTTTTCTCGGCTGCAGCTTCTTAAAGCCGCTCGGGCAATTGGAGCAGACGCACTTCCGGCTGAGGAAGTCTGGAAGGAATTCGCCCCGCTGCTCTCCGGGGTTTCCTGCAGGGAAGTGGCCCCTCAAGGACCTCCCCCCCCCCCGCCGAGTGCTTGAAAAGCCGTTTTTCCTCTTGAGCGCGGGAGCTTTTCCGACTGCCGGTAAGACCCCACTTTCGATACTGCGCCCACTTCCGGTGACCCTGATAGAAAAAGATGTTGCGACTTTGGAAAGAGCGCAGGGAAGAGACGGTTGGGGGAAGGGGAGCGGAGGCCGAATCACACGAAGAAGGGTTGCAGGAGTTGGGCATGGCCAGTCGAGAGAAAAGGAGGACCGGCGGGGGGGGGGGCGGCGGCACAGGATGGCAGGGTTCCAATATTTGAGAAGCTGCCACAAAGAAGGGGGGGTGTCAGAACCCGTCTTTATGTGCATTGGGAGTTCTGGTTCTTTTCGGGTTCTGCCAGTCTTCTGAGAGGGGGAGGGGGAACTCGGGGCTGCTAGAGTGCATTTCCTTTGCTTTGTTCCCTGCTCTACCCTCTTTTTTTAAAAAAAAAAACAAGTTTTATTGGTTTTTTAACTTTTACAACAAAGTGCTCAAGAAACACCGTGGTGATGGGGTAATCAATCATCCAAAAACAAAGTCATATATATATATATATATAATTCAACTTAATGCATTAAATGTTCCCTCTCTATTTCCCTCAAATAGTATAACATATTTAGGGTATATAGATCCAAATCCTGTTTTTAAGCTTTACTAATTTACAATTACTATAATCCGATTTAATCTTGAATAAACATATTATTAGCACTTCGGGTATCCCTTCTAAAATACACATAGTATTCCAACAATAACATTCTAATATTTCCAGGTATATTCTAATTCTTAATCTAATAAATCATTGATTTTATCAACTCTATGTATATATAATCTATCAGTCAATCTATTTCTATAACAGAACACAACAAAACACAAAATCATTTCAGTCCATTAGGTAGGATTTAAATCTCATCCAAATAATTATCATATCTAAAACACACATATTACACATATTACATCTTACTAACTTCACATACTCAGTTAATTGTTAAATCCGTCCAGATCTCTGAAGCCTCTTCCATTTTCTTATTCTTGTTCCATTACAAAATAATTTTCATACATAAAATATTATTTCAAAAGACATTCTTACTCTATTTCACATATATATTCTACTAATCACGAGTTTTCCTCTCGCTTCTAAGTCTGAATCTTAAACCTTAAATCAATCTGTATATAAAGCCTTTTTAACCCATTACATGTAATTTTAAGTCTCTTTTTTCAGTCTTATTCTGGCTTTCTTTTTGTGCCAAGCAGGTTTCCATAACAGCCTCTATTTCAATAAATAGATCTCCCTTTATTCCTTGTGATGCCATTTGGGTCAAGGGAAGACATCCCATCCTCTGTTTTCGGAGCCTGACTCCTTTGTAGTTAGACCCTTGTTGCTTTAAAAATTCAAGTCTCAGTGTTTGGTTCAGCTGAGTAAGATATTCAGTTGTATCCAGTTTTATGGTTAGTTGATTATCAAAGTTGTCATAGTTCTCAGTAAATTGTGTTTGTACATCAATTCCTGTTTTTGGAGTTGTATGTAGTTTAATTAAGATTACCTTTTGATCATCAAAAATCTCAATAGGATGCATATAAGATGATATAAATTCCTCTTTGGTGTTGGTTAATTCCTCTTCTGGTATATTTTGGCCTATAAGATAGTCAGTTGAAATCTGGAAGTCAGTTTGAAGGTTTGAAGTAGGGTTTCTGACTCTTATTTCTGTAGTAATCTCTTTTATTTTAGCGCATATTTGCTCAGTGGCTTCATGATTTTTTTCCAATATAAGTTTACAATTTAGTTATAAATAGGGTTTCTCCATTTCGATGATAGTTAGAAGCAGTCCTTTTATCTTTTGGTGAAGGCTATATTTAATAAGAGTTAACCAATGTCCACCTCCACAGTTTCTAATAGCTTCATCAACTTCTTTATCTTTTCCCTTTTATAAAAGTTTGAAGGTCAAAGCCAACCTCAACTTCAAACAGAAGCAGGCAATTGCAGTATTAAATTTCCCCACAAGATGTCCTCAGTAGGTTATAAAATCTTTTCCCAGACACCAATAAAATGAATTTTCCTTTTTTTCTTTTTCTTTTTTAAAAATATATATAAAAAGAAATATTCTCCAGATTTAAACTAAATCATATAGTAAAGCTCTATAAAAGGGTTTTTTCGGACCCCAGAGTAAATAGAAGTAAAATATAGTCATTAGAGTTAGTTATTCTGTCCTTTTATTCAGCGCTTTTCTTCCCACACAAACAAACGCCGCTCTCTCAGGGCAGGGAATTAATTCCAAAAGGCTTTTTACAGGAGAAAAAATAGGGTGAAGAGAGGAAAAGGAAAAGTCTCACCCGGATCATCCACGGTGGTTCTTTACGCTTAGATGTTCTTGTGACTTTCGGCTGGTGCAGCTGCATAATCGGCCATCTTACAGGATGATCTTTGCTCCGTCGGCCCTAAGGAGTTAGCTGGAGCCGCGGGAGATGCTGCTGCCCTCCCGCAGTCACCAAAAAGCCTCCTCATCGGTGGTCGCCCCTCCAGGGCGACTTTCAACCCTCTTCAGGGTCTACCGGCGAAGAAGAATCGGCCGGCGAAGAGACGACTTTCTTCGTACGACCGCAGTCGCCGCAAACTGGAACCGGAAGTCCCTGCTCTATCCTCTTTGATGTTTCTTTCGTGGGGTGAGAATGGAACGTGCCTCTGACCATCTGCCTTATCTCTGGACGCGGAGAAGAAGCGCGAAGACCTAACAACCTTGGAAGCGGCACCTTATCGCTCCGTTCTCACAGCATTTTCATGCCTGTGGGTTGGCCTGTTTGAACCATCTGGATTCTGGAGGGACACCTGGGGTGGGGTTTACATTGTCTCTTTTTTAACCTATTGATTTGCGCAGGAAATCCTCAGATCCTGCCTTCTACTACTGCTGTCAACACCTTCCAATAAAAGTTTTCTTTTGGAATGATGTCTGCTTCAAGAGTTCTGTTTTCCTGGGAGGTCTAATTGAGGCAGGTCCTTACAGGGGTGTCAGCCTGTTCTCCAAAGCACCAGAAAGGAAAATGGGAAACAACGGAGGGAAACCAATCAAGGAGAGAAGCAAAAGGAAAAAAATCCTGACAAAATAATGAACCAGTGTAACGGCTTCCCTCCAGAAGTTGTGTCTTAGAACCCCTATCAATAGGTTCCCCAATCCTTTCGCTATTCTTTCCTCTTTCATCCTGACACAAATCTCTCTCTTCTCATCCTGGGTTCTGCCAGGTTCTGCCAGGAGGGAGGGCGGAGTGCTTGAGGGTTATTGCCTTGATTTCCTCTATTGCTACAATGTAACACTTTGCTTTCCTGCATTATTTCTTGTGAACTTTCCCATCCCTTACTGTCAGCTAGCAAAGGGAGGGTAAGAATGGAATGCAACCTCCGGGGACTGCTTTATCTCTGCAACCCCAGAGAAGGTGCAAGAGCCGCCTAAACATCACAACTACAACCAGAGACAGCCCAATGTTATCTCCCTGTTCCCACGAGGACCCTAACACCTGGGGATTGGGCCATTTGAACTGACCAATGAACTATGGGGTGGGGTTATGCTTTCTTGTTATAGTTATAGTTATAGTTATAGTTAGGTGCCCAGCTGGTTTCCCTCCAGCCTCACTGGCTGAGTCTCCTCAGACTCTTTGACCGAGGGATGTCCAGGCGCCTCCTGTCGTGATTCCGTGCCAGCCTGTGTTCCCAACAGCTGAGTCTGAGGAATCTGAGGAGGAGGTGGAGGAGGCATTTGAAGGGCCATCAGGGTCAGAGGGAGGCTCTGATGAATTACAAGACTCATGGCTTGATGAAGAGCCTGGGCCCTCCAGTCATGTTCCTGATGAAGCTGAGCTGTGTGAGGGGACTGAGTCAGACTCAGACGACTCACACCTGATGGACTTGCTAATTGATGCTCGCACACGCAGGCAATTAGCGAGGGTAAATCAGCAGCAGTCAATGCGACTACTCCAGGGGAAAAGGAGAAGGCACCGAGAGGCAACGCCTTGGAACTGCTGTATAAAAAGAGGAGGTGTGGGCGGTGCTGGTTGCTGAAGGCAACCGTTTGTAAGAACTTCCAGGAATCATGGTCTGTTTGTTTTACCGATGAGTGTCTTGTTTAACTCCTGCTCTGTTTGCTTTTTTAACCAATTATCTGTTGGAAAAGTATTCTGTTGTTTTTGTTTTTTGGAAAACTTATCAGGACTGTTTTTGAAATAAAAAGGGGTTGGTTTTCCCAGCCTACTGTTAAAGAGGGGTTTGTTTTTGTGACGTAACAAAGACGGACGTAGGCTGGGACAGAACACCTCCGATGCGTCGCTCAGCCTGGAACAGGCTGAAACAGGGTGGGGAGAACCTGACCTGCCCTTGCAACTGATTCCCCCCCCCTCAGGGTCCCCAGCAGCGTGCGGCTTCTTGGGGCCAAACACGGGCACCATCCCTGGGCCAACCGGAGTGAGGAGCGCAGCTTCTTACTCCTCTGAAGCGGAGCAGCCAAGAAAAACGCAAAAGTGGGCAGAAGAGCAGGGGCGATGGGGGGGGGGAATAAAGTTCTGCCACATATCCGTTGGCTTTCCCAGACTGACCTTCTCGGTTCTCGGCAAGGCTTCTTTCCAG